CAAAGCTACAGTACTGTGAAAAGTTTTAGGCACTTTTGTAAAAATGCTGTAAAGTGAGGATGTTTTCAAAAATAATGTCATAAATAGATTTTATTTATCAATTAACTTATATTTACTAAATCAAGTCAACATTTGGTGTGACCACTCTTTGTGTTTAAAACAGCTTTTGCCCTAGTTGCACTTGCGCATAGTTTTTCAGGTAGCTTTGCAGGTAGGGTTCTTGAAGCATCTTTGAGACGTTGCCACAGTTCTTCTGGATTTAGTCTGTCTCAGTTTGTTCCGTTTCTTCATGTCATTCCAGACAGACTGGATGATGGTGAGATCAGATCTCTGTGTGAAGCACTGGCTACTGTCAGACTCCTTGTGCATACAAAAATCTCACTGGATTATTAAAATTAATGGCAAAAGGAATGTTTGGAAATGTAAACTGATATTTCCTACTGACACACTACAGCAAAAGATAGAAATAAGTGGCTTAAAAACATTTTCTTGTTTTTGAAAATACTAATGGCCTAATACTTGCACAGTACTGTATGTATATAAACCCCCCTCCCCCCCTCCCAAAGATAAATATATAATTTCGCATTAGAAAATACTATAAATTAAATAAATAAATTAAATTAAAAAAAAACAGGCTGTGTTGGTTTCGTCCTTGAAGGTTTGAAGATCTGCACAGCGCTATTGGTCTTTCAGGAGCAATGCTGCATTGTGCTTTTAATGGTTTTGGTCTTCAGCATTCTGCATTTCAATGACAGATTCATATTCAGAACCGACAAGCAATAAAACATATGGCTAATCTTAATCGTTTGGTTTGGTTTCATGATGAACAGATGCTAACTGTTAATACGATATGACAACAACATTAAACAGATTATTGCAAATCTGCTGTTGCATAGAAATGAACCAAATGTACCTCCTGAAACATTTATCAGCTGACAGCTTCATATCTTCATAAATAGCCTTGTTTTTATTCAATATACAATATACCAGGGGTTTTCAACCTTTTAGGATATGCGCCCCCTCAAATTTGTCTAATTTCTCTCGATATGACTACAGCCCTATTCAGATGGCAATTCTTTCTCATGGGGATGTACGGTAATGTTAACAGTCACAGGGGCTTGTCAGTAATTCTATTGCAGTCTGAAATCAGAAATATTTGTTTTTTGACAAACACCAAGATTGTGTGGTCATTTATAGCCGGCCGAATCCACATCTCGGAGTTATTTTACCTGTCAGACAAGTAGCTGAGTGAAATGTTTACCTTATGTAAATATAAATAAGTTTGTCTCTGTATATTTCTCCTAATCTCCACATTTTTAAATTGACATCTATCATTTTGAGAAATAAAAAAGCAAGACAGAAAACTATAGCATGTCAATTTTCTATTTTTAATGGTATATTTAAATAACCAAGCAAATAAATAAATATATACATTCCCTATCATTTATTTAAATATGAATTCATTAATTGTTCAAGCCACAATAAATATTTTGTTTACATCTGACTATGGCTGGGCATTGAGACAAATTTCACGATTTAATTCGATTTGATTTTGATTTCCATTCACAAGCTTGCAGTTTGATTCAATTTCAAACTCGATTCAATTCGATTTATTTGGACATATAGGCAAGTACAGTACATACCAATTTAGTTCAAGAAAAAAAAATGCAACTAATGCTGTAAACTACAAAACTATACAATAAACCCTGTCAGTTGGTACATTACTAAATTAAGTGATTTGTAAACAAACATTTAAGTTGCACATAAGGCCGTTTTTATAATAAAAATGTAAATTGTAATAAAGAGCGCTAAAATTGTATTTAATGTTTGAATTTCATAAAAAATGTACAGAATTTGACTTTATTTCATATGAAAAGTAACGAAGCAGAAATGCTTAACGTTAGGGCTGTGCAATATATCGAAATTATCGAAATATCGCAAATATACATATCGCTACAGCTTGCAATATTTGGGGCCATGAACAAAAGACAAAGAGAAAATCACTCACTGCTCTTACCTAAATAACTTTTGTAGCTTAAATAAGAATCAGTGCATATTGAATTCAAAGAGTAAATACTACGCAGTGTTTTATTTTTCCTTTTTATTATTCAGTTCCTAAACTCATGTTAAAATGATTACACTAATGTTAAAATGCCATTTTTATGTAATACTTGAGTAAAACACTACCGTTCACTTTCAGAAGTTGTTGTAGGGGTGCTTTCTTATTAGAATCAGAATCAGAATGAGCTTTATTCACCACTTAAGTGTGCGCAAACACAAGGAATTTGTTGTGGTTTTACAGGAACTCTTGGTACATACATGCATACAAATAACCATATATATATATATGACACAAGATAGTTATAGAAGTTCACAGAACTGACTCTGAAACTGACTTCACTGAAAAAACTGTTTCATCTGAGCATGTGGCACTTTAAGCATGATTGTATCGCATATCGAATACCGCATTATTTAATGAGTTATCGCATATCGCATTTTTCTTCAATATCGCACAGCCCTACTTAACGTGATTTACTGGACGGGAGGAGTGCTACAAATAATTTTTTGTTCACGCATCAACTGAAAACCGCATATTGTAGATCAATTCTTGGGATTTAACAATCGATATCGGTACATCCAAATGAAAATAGATTAAAATCGAGAAATCTGTATTTTACGATATTGACGATCATGTGACTGACCACTTGAGCAGTGTGTTTCCAGGTTTGTACTGTAGTATCACAGAACTCACTCCTCCACCATGAATAAATCACCATGCAAATGTATTTTTACAGACGTCCCCATGAGAAAGAATTATTGTCTGGCTCTTTCACTCGTCTGCTGACAGAGCTTCAGCTCAAGGTCTTGATTTTCTGCTGACCTTGTTGGCGCTCTTGAGCATCTCCACCAGCTCCCAAAAGCTAATCAGAGCCCTCTTATCCACGCGCTCCATGTAGACACGGAAATGCCCGCGGTACACTGCATTTGACATGATCTCCTCAAACTGAAGTATCTGTGAGAGGACAAGAAACAAATGAAGCAGACGGTGTTATTATTAAAAACACTTGAAAACATGACACTGTAGAGGAAGTGGAGTTTCATCTCAAGAACGCTGGGTAATTTATCAGTATCACTGATGCCAGCTGACGAAGATTTTTCTTCTCATCTTTTAAAGGGTTTCTACACTCCTGAAGTATCTTATATTTTTTCATTGATAGTCAAGGTTTCTCTCTGACCCTAAGAATTAAGGAAATTTTTGCTATTGTACCATTAAGTAAATATATAGTAAATGTTGGCTAACCTCCACGTACTGGCAAGATTCACACCAAAGTAGCTGAAATCATTCTAATATGCCGATTTGCTGCTCAACAAACATTTCTTATTATTATCAATGCTGAAAACAGTTGTGCTGCTTCATATTTTTGTGTTTTTTTAGGATACTTTGATGAATAGAATGCTCAAAAGAATAACATTTAATAGCAATTAATAAATGTCTTTACTGACTCACTTTTGATCAATTTATTACATCTTTGTTCAATGAAAATATAAATTTCTTTTAAGAAACAAAAACAAAAACATTAATAATAATAGCTTACTTATCAAACTTTTTAATTGGTAGTGTAGGTCAGTGTTATTTTTTTTCTCAATATTTTATTTATTTAGTTAGTTAAATTGTTTTAGTTAAAGTTGTAGTATTTTTTTTGTATGGAGTTTCATCTCAAGAACGCTGGGTAATTTATCAGTATCACTGATGCCAGCTGACGAAGATGTTTCTTCTCATCTTTTAAAGGGTTTCTACACTCCTGGAGTATCTTATATTTTTTCATTGATAGTCAAGGTTTCTCTCTGACCCTAAGAATTAAGGACATTTTTGCTATTGTACCATTAAGTAAATATATAGTAAATGTTGGCTAACCTCCACGTACTGGCAAGATTCACACCAAAGTAGCTGAAATCATTCTAATATGCCGATTTGCTGCTCAACAAACATTTCTTATTATTATCAATGCTGAAAACAGTTGTGCTGCTTCATATTTTTGTGTTTTTTTAGGATACTTTGATGAATAGAATGCTCAAAAGAATAACATTTAATAGCAATTAATAAATGTCTTTACTGACTCACTTTTGATCAATTTATTACATCTTTGTTCAATGAAAATATAAATTTCTTTTAAGAAACAAAAACAAAAACATTAATAATAATAGCTTACTTATCAAACTTTTTAATTGGTAGTGTAGGTCAGTGTTATTTTTTTTCTCAATATTTTATTTATTTATTTAGTTAGTTAAATTGTTTTAGTTAAAGTTGTAGTATTTTTTTTGTTATTTGTAAACATTAAATATATGTCTATATAGTTTTATTCATTTGAGTTTTTAGTTTATTTTAGTACATAAAATACTATGTACTAATTACATAGTACTTTAGTACATGAAAAATATATATTTCTTTATGGTTTTAATTTTAGTTGTAGTTTCAGTTAACTATAACAACCCTGGTGTAAGTCTGAATAAAAACCGGTTCTCTATTCTGAACACTAGTAAATGTGGTTGGACTATAATCATGACAATTTCTAAATGACCCATTTTTGCAGTTAATAGTCTGGGGAAGGAGCTTCGCATCAAAAGAACGCAAAGAAAATCCTTTCTTTCCAGGAAGCATCATGCAGTAATATTTTAAGCTTTACACACTGGGGTTCCTGTGTTCTTCTAAGCAGGCTTTCAGAGCAGGAGATTCGGCCTGTTAGCGTTTGAAATAGTGCTGTGCGCTTTGACCAAAAATCTGACTGTGCCTTTATATGAAACAGAATGCATGAAACAGATGTTGAACCACTGCATTTTAATCACTACCAAACAAAGATGCTACATGTAGCATGAGTAGTTGTTGATTTAAATTAGATTGTACAATTTCACAATGTAAAGCTTTGTGAATTTATGCTACACAAAACAGAAACAGCAGGTTCCCTGGTTACCGCTGTAAACAAAGCAGCGCTGCGCGTAAAAATACTGATTTAATATGAATTCTACAGAGACGAGCTGAAAAGAAAATACCATCTAAACTTTTCATTCATATAAACCCCCACACCCAATTCAGTATCTAGGATTTTCATCCAATATTTCGCACATCGTGAACCGTGAGCTGCTCTGTACTGTATGGTTCAGTATGGTTCAGTATTCTGCTCTTTTATCATAATCCTTTTGTTTTTATTGAGCCATTATTCTGGCATTACATGGTTTACCCATTCACATTGCTTTGATCCCAGTATTTACCCACCTAGTGGAAGTTTGTCATCGGAAGAGGCAAGGGTGAGTTATGAACGCATAATATGACCAAAAGGCAACCTTCCGGTCTCTCTCTTGAAACCGACATGAAAGTGACTTAAACTGCAATTCATCGACTGGCCGCTAGAGACTGGCTCCAAAAGGGAGTCAATCCCATAGAGCCGCCATGTTAAAATGACCAACTTTACAGCAGAAAAAAGTATGTTTACAGCCTGGTACAAAAAGTGGTTTTGGTCTATATAGCTAATTTTGCCCGTCATGACAACTGTGAGAGGGGTGAATTTTTTTTATAACTCATCCGTTTAAATTATATTACGCCTTAAAGTTCTGCATAATTAAGGGCGTGGCCACTTGAGTGACAGGTGGATTGCTGCTGCAGTCACCACCGTCGAGCTATAGGCAGGCGTGGGTTCAGCAACCAGCTCCACCCTCGTCCCACCTCTTTGGCCATTTTCGAATATCCAGGAGTGGCACGCTGCAAAGATGGTGACCAGGGCAGGACTTAAGGGGCCGGGGGCCCCTGGGCTTGAGGTTATGTTTGGGCCCCATACCTATACTACAAATGCCCATTATTATGGAGTAACACAAAATACACAACAATTTAAATATGCTTTCAGGTTCATATACTGTATACAATTAATAGGCAACATGTCTAGCCTAGTCAAAGTTTAGATGTAATATTAAATAGTCACTATAATTCAATAAACAGGATGTGATTTCTCAGTTGAGAGATCAAAACCCTGAAATAACACTGAGCAGAAAAAACCAAAGAGATGTATTATTATGAAAATGTATTGTCATATCTGTGTCCTTTTATGTCAGATTCTTAAATTTAATAAATTCAATCTGAAT